GGCGTGCTCATGTTAGGGTGCTGGTCAACAACCACCCCCAGGTCCTTTTCCGCCAGGCAGCTCTCCACCCACTCCTCCCCAAGCCTGTAGTGTTGCATGGGGTTGTTGTGACCCAAGTGCAGGACCCGGCCCTTAGCCTTGTTGAATCTCATGCATTTGGCCCTGGCCCAACGATCCAGCCTGTCCAGGTCCCTCTGTAGGGCCTTCCTCCCCTCCAGCAGATCGACACTTCCACCCAACTTGGTGTCACCTGCAAACTCACCAAGGGTGCACTCCATCCCCTCGTCCAGATCATTGATAAAGATATTAAACAGAACTGGTCCCAATACTGAGCCCTGGGGAACACCACTTGTGACCGGCCATGAACTGGATTTAACTCCATTTACCACAACTCTTTGGGCCCAGCCATCCAGCCATTTTACCCAGCAGAGTACGCCCGCCCAAGCCATGAGCAGCGAGTTTCTCATGCTTATGTAAAAGTTTCTACAATATGTCCTGTGCCCCTACAGACTAATAGTCATTCACTGGTAGCAGACAATCTCACTACGGGTGCTTTAAGAGCTGAGTGAGATCTCTCTCTAAGTTCTATAGAAGTTCTATATCCCCTGTTACTATTACCTCAAAAGCTTCTCCTCAAATACATCCAACACAAATTCTGACATATCTATGCAGAATAAAATATAATTTAATTATTTCTACAATTTATGAACTGTTGGAAATATGGCTTTCTGATTATTCTGCGTCTTTTGGTGGTAATACATTTGGTACTGCACTATTAAATGGGTCCCACTGTGCCACATACTCTTTCTTTCTGTATAGAACAGAAGCAAGGAAGCAACGTAGTTGAATACAAGTGAACCTGATATAAAAGTGTTTTATAGAAATACACATTTTTGCTTCTTAAGTATAATCATTTATGAAAGATTGACTAAAATTGTGTTAAACACCCTCGGGGTGTTAGAAGTGGTTTAACAAGATTGCCCACAGAACATGGTTCTTTAAAAAATGCAGTTTTTTAAACACCTACATTTAATGGTTGCTACAATTCTATAATGGAAAAAATGCAGAGAACCTTGGTTCTCCACTGAAATTGAAATAAAACACAAGAAGAACTTTATAAGCAATAAATAAAAGACCCATTGAGTAAATGAGAAAAATATCTCTTTATGTATCCAGTGCAGTGCTGACATGCTGCTGCATTTATAAAATACCAAGAGACCTGTTTTGAGGATGACCTATTATGCTCTGAAAAATACACAGTTATTAGGCAGTGGTTATCTTTACTTTTTCTGGATTCTAGCCTACTTATTTATGTTGTCTAGGGTACCTATAGATGCCCTAACTAATCATGAGATGCCTATTCCTTCTGTTAATTATATCCAAAAGGTGGAGGTCCATAGGTCCATGCCTCCAGATATGCTATATATATTATTGCATATTCTGTGTTTTAAGATGGATACCACACCTAACTATTGTACTTAAAAACAGCACAAAAATTGCTTTTGACATTAACAAAATCAGGCTTAGGTATTGCATGGAACAGTACACAGTGAAGCTTACACTTTTAGCCAAAAGAGATAGTATCTATCTGACATCCTTTTTGGGTAAATCCCTTCCAAAAGATTTTCCTTGTATTGTTGATCAATTTGACCGAAAAGCAGTTGACATTTTCCACTTATTTTATACTGAAATTAATTCATTATGCCTTTAACATCCCTATCAGAACCCTGAGCAAAAGACAAATAATCAGTTAAGTATGACTTTAAAAAGCATGACCTGAAAATCTTTCATTCTAAATAAAAAAATAGGAAATTAAAGGATGTAAGATAAAATATTATTCTAATAAATGTCAGTATTACTAGAAATACTTTTCATGTAACTGTTTACTTCCCTTGTGTGGCACAATCGTTTTTGCCAAAAGTGTAGTGTTTATATGACATCTTTAATAGAAAGAAGGCAGTTCTGCCGACAGCTGCTTAATGCATTTTTGGTTAGCGTAAATTTAACAAAAATCTGTAGTTTTGTGAAGCTGACACTTCAGCAGCAGATGGATGACATCTGAAGCACCAGCCAACTGTAAAGGAATTATAGCAGTAGAGAGGGCTGAATTTTGCCCGCTAAGATTACAGGCTACTTATAGTTTATATACTGACACAAATAGCTGTAGCAGCGCAATGTTACCATAGAAACTTGTAGATGAGTAAAATATTCCTCCAGCTCTCCACCAATGGAAGGACGGCAATACAAAGCTTGATATGGTAATGAGAACCACCAGAGGATGATGAATGTGAACTGATTGAGGGTGGGGATTAAGTAAGACCTTAACAAGCCTTTAGGAGTGAAGAATGGCTGTGACTTCCCTAGCTAATACAGTGGCGTATTTAATTGTCTAAGATCTCCTACATTTGTTGACAGGAAAATGTTTCACTGAAACATTGCTTTTTTCCTAGGGATTACACTGTCAGACACCTTTTGGATGTTTTTTCTTAATTATTTTGTACTGTTTTTACAAAACGGGGGCTTTGGAGGAGGGGGGCACAATTCAAAATAATATAGACTGTGGCTTTGGACCTCAGAAAACTGTACTTTATGAATCAGATTAAATAAAATCGGCTAATTTAAACTAATTTTAGTGTCTGCACCCTTTAATATTTCCAGGTAAAAACTGCAAAATGATCTACTGTAATTCTCAGTGCATATGTAGAAATCTATTTCTAATTCACTCACTTTTTAACTGCATATTCAGGCATTTTATTCTGGTCAAGGTCACAGAGTCAAATTTTTTGCATGGTTATTGCTGATTGCTTTGAAAAATGTAACATCTCCCTCAGTAGAGAACCTTACAATTTGCTGGAATTTCAGTTTAAAAATAAAAAATTCTATGTCTTTTCCGCCAATAGTTTTCATGATATTCTGTACACTTTCCAAGATACATTAGTACATATGCCATCTAACTCATACCACAAGAACCAGTCCATCTGTTTGAATGTACTAATTTTGTCACAGTAAATGGTGCATGTTGGGTTTTTACTATTTAAAATGTTACGACTACAATGCACAAGCTGGATTTTTTTATATACATAGTAGTGTGTAGATATTACCTCTCCCACAATTTATTGAAGACCAAAGAAAATAGACTATATAATCCATACTCGCGCAATTCATCTGTTTCCAAACATTTGCAGCAACTATCTATATGCTGCTCTTTATGATGCAGGCTAGACAGACTGCAAGAATAAAAAATGAAACATCTGAGATAACTTAGCAAGTCAATGAGATGGAACTCGAAAGTTTGTACTTCTAGGCCAATTGTTAGGACTAGATAAATGCTGCATTTATGACACACCATGTCCAAATGAGCTATCAAATATGGAAATCAAACAAGTTGAGTACTTAATATCACATTTATCACATTATAACATTGTTTTGATTATCTCTGATTATGTTACCTTGCTGTAGCTTGATTGTCCACATCAGTCTTTAGTTTCTGAGGGGACACCTGTTCTGATGAAAAGTCAGCACTGCAATAGGAATGGTGAAAACATACTTAAGGCACAAGAAGCTAAAACACATTATATCATTTAAATGGGTTATCGTTGTAGATATTATATTTCTTACAAGTGTAACCACAGTGAGTTTGGATTTTCTTTGAGAAACTTTTTTCTGTTTTTTTCTTTAAATGTATATATAATATTTAAATATATGTAATATATATATATCAAGAATTATAGATATTATATATATATATAAAGAATATATATATAAAGAGCTATGTAATTCTATAGTTCACTAGATTACTGCATCCACTGAGCCTTGAAAAATTTTAATATTCCAAGACTAGCTGTTTTGTTAGTATAGGCATAGCAATAAAGTGGAGTTTCTTTACTGTTTCAAAATTATTTTAGTAATAAAGGAACTTTTAAATACTTTTCTACTACCTACTAATAAATTTTACTTATTTAGTAAAGACTAACATTTTACTTATTTAGAAAAGTACTGATTTTTTAAAACCTAAATAAGTAAACAATTACACTTCCCTATTTTTACTTATTTGTGTGAGCAGTCAGATTGGTCACTAGGGGAATACTAAAATTATAAGAAACTATAAGAAAGGCAGAAGGTGGTCGATACAGTTGGAAATGAGAGTTACGTGCTTCTTTAGAGAATCTTTCTATTAGGATGGCAACTAAACCATGAGAAGTTGTGTAGCTGTCTTAATTATAAGCCATGAAATTACAGGTTGGTTAAGTAATCTTTTCCTAATTTAGACCATGTGAAATGTACATTTAATTAATCAATTTCTTTAATAAATTTATTTTCTAAAATTAGAACAACCTTTGCAGACACTCAAATTTAAGTTTGGAGTACTTTACGTCAATTCATCTTATGTTAATGCCTTCTATTAGAAGCCTTTGCATGTGCACAGCTTTTTAATTTACCACTTTCTTTTTCTTCACTTTGCTCATGTTCTCTTTTTCACTCTCTCTTTAGAGCATCAGTTTAATATAAAGGGGTATTTGCATTAGCAACATATATAACTGTGGAACTAAAATTGTGAAGCAGTTTTTAATTTTTTATGCAGTTACAGTTGTTTTTTCAAATTGAATAAATATCCAATTAAATGTTCTAAGCTGTGTGAAAATAATTACAGTTCTGCAAGGAAGGAAGTCTTCTTCATGTGCTTCTGTGACATTGACTATGGAGGAACCCACCCAGGAAAATTATACAGTCTTTGTATTATAAATAAATGTAAAATAATAATCAAAGTTTGTGTACGGGAGTGTGTTGCATTTCTAAATCTACTAAGAAGCAAAGTAAGCAAGACATACGTCGTTGGAGCCTCTGAATTTTCTGAAGTGGTCCTAGAGAAAGGAAAGAGTACACATTTCGGAAACCAAGTAGCAAAATGCTAGTATTGAAGAACTTTGCAAGATTTTAGATCAATCAACAGCAATTAATTTTACTTTTCCTTCCTTCCAAGACGGTATTTTTCTTTGTTTCTTAATGTGGAACATAACATGTTTAACTCAAGTAGCATAATACTAAATCCTAATCATATTCTTTATATGTTACTAAGACAATCATTCTTCAACTAACATTCTCCAGTCTCTGATCAATAGTGTTTTGTTTTCAGCACACAATTCACAACCAAAAACTCAATTACAGTGAGCTGCTTATATTCTCAGCTTCAATTGCAATTTCTTTTAAGTGTTCTGTAAAGTGTGTTTAATCAGCTTGGAACTGAAGCAAAGCACTCTAGAAGTTTATGTGTCATGCTTGACTATAGAAGGCTAGAATCAGGTCTCAGAATCAGAAAAGGTAAGTAAATAATAAACCCTGACCAAAAAAACCCCACAAACCCATGACTGCTGAACTCCCTTCCAGAGGACAGCAGAGCAATCAGCCATTCTCATATTTGAAGAAAAGACACAGCTCTTTGCTCCACCCATCTTTAAGACTAATGGTGACCTTTTAAAACTGTGGTTATTAGCATCTATGCGTAGCACTTTATTTCCTGAAACTCACAGGCAAGTAAAAGGCTTTGCTTTGGTGACTATTATTAGTTATAGTAATATTCACAATTTGAAATAGCTTTTACATCTTCAAGGCACTTTTAAAAGATAAACAAATTAATCATTTAATGCTCATCACTGTTTAACCAACTGTCCTTGGTGACATCGTTGTTAGATGATCCAGGAAAGGTCATGAAAGCTTCATAAAGAATATGCCTGTATTTTGGTCTTCTCTGGACTATGAGAGTAGAGGAGTAACTGGATAATTAGTGTTGAGAAGGACACAGGAATCCCAGCGTTTTGTTGGAACCTGGGCAGATGCCATATAGAGAATGCATCCTATCCTATGCTTTCAAAATTACCATAATCATAGTGAGATATTGAAATGAAGCCAGATAAATTCATCACAGTTGACATATTAAAAATATCTAGTAAGCACTGACTTAAAAGAAAATAAACTTTAGCATCTAGGAGCTATCTTTCTGCTGGGTGGTGAGTGACTTAGAATCTTGGCCAAACAGATGGACAAGTATACACAGAATAAGGTTAAAAATAATTGCTAAACTTGGTTTTAAGGATTCATCTTAAAGTCTTCCAGTGACAGAGATTCCATAAACTCCCTAGGCCATGGTCTACCAAGGAATTCTACCTAACACAACAATGTATCTGTTCATTTCTGTTTCATTTAATTTTCGTCATTGATATGCATGAGACTCATGTTGGAAGTTTCCCAGATGAAAATTAGGGAAGCACAAGGCCATGCTGCAGCCAGTAGGGGACCTAAGCAAAGAATATAATGACAGTTCATTCATGAATGTTTGAAACCATCCATATTCTGCTTTTAGATGAGAGCACAAGAAATGTTCTCTGTTCTCTTTCTGATCTGCCAGAAAGCAATCACAACTTTAGAAATAAATATTAAACATTCATCTGCAAGTAACTTTAGCCTGAGCTTTTCTTCTAAACTATTTCTTGGATGCCTTACTGAGAGCTGACTAAGAAGATCTTGAGGTTTTGTCCACAGTGTTAACCAAAAGGGCCCAGGGTTAGTTCCTGCTGTCAGACCTAATGGCACCAATAGATTCCTGCGCTTATGGTTAGTCGTTCTATAGCAGATTTGTCTTGTGGAGAGGTAACTGGAATAGTCCAAACCAAAACCATGAAGAAAGCATACAAGTATTGTAGAAAAATTTTGGGAACACTTATGTAACCTCAAGTCGCTGGCACTTCAGATACTCAGATCTCAGTCAATGCTGGGCATCAAGCTGCTAAGAGCCCAAACAAGTATCTAGGCATGGGATGCTTTCTCTTCCCATGCTATCTTACTCATCAAACTCAGTCCCTCAAAGAATTACCCTGTTGGCTCGCTCCCAAAATCAGCTCTAGCCAAGAATTAGGAAATAACTAGCGATCATCAGTACTTACCATTTAGCTTCCACTGTTTCTGTCGTGGTCTTACTGCTTGAAACCGGGGGAGGGATCCAAGATTGCCTGTCGGTGTTAACAAATAAATTCTTAAATATTAGTTTAATGCTATGGGGCTGAACAGCATACCATGAATGTTAGAATGTCAGAAGTGGTGTAGAAATATCTGGAAATTTTCTTAAATTATTAGTTTTTTGAAATACTGCATAGAGATACTTTTTAGACCATTCTTTTCCAGACAATTGAATGGAATCTGAACATATATAGTAATTTTAATTACTGTTGTGAAAAATGTATTCTCTGACTCTAGGTGGTCTTTTCTGCAGCCTGAATGGTACAAATAAATGGATCATTCATGGGAAGGACAACCAGATAGAATGTACAAATATCAACCCAAGAAACATATTCAGACTGGTATTAGAGGTCACATAAACATCACAAGCACTTTCAGTTCTTTTCTTTTTTTCCCCCTCAAAACTATCAAGCCGGCAATTATGTGTGAGGAAAAAGCAATTGCACCATAAACAGTGCAATTCAGTGATAGCCCTTCACATCTTCAGTGAGCCTGAAGAGAGCTACTGGGCTGAAAACACCATAAACTTCCACCGAACAAGCAGGGCTGTTAATATGAAAATGATGACTTTTTAATTTCTACTTTCATAATTCTACTGATCACAATTTTTATGCATGAAATATGGAAGAGAAAATCATGAACGGACAGAATTTGCAGTTGAGAAGAATGCATAAAAATATGGCTATTGCCAGCAGTACATTTTAAATTAAAAATGTAATTCATTGTTCTACACCCTGTTATTATACTTGCCCAGTAATACTATCTGAAATCCAAATTTTTAAAGCTAGCTGTGTATCATGCAGAAAACTGTGTGGTTCATATGTACTGCAACAGCACAGGGTCAAGTTTGGCATCAGAGATTTCAGCTGGTTGCCATTACAGTGGGCTACAGTGCTTTAAATTTAGATACTGAAAAGGCCTATGCTTGCTGAGCTAGGAGCTGCAGCAAAGAACTAGCATCTATCGTGCTATGTCTGCAGGGCTCACAATACTGCTTCTACAAAGACAAACTTGCAACACAGTACTCCCATGGAAAAAACCACAGCATGCAAAAGATGAATTCTTGAAGCTTGCTGAGGAGTTAGAGCATGGTAGAGGAGAAAGTTGGCAATGTTGTTTTATTTAATTGTGATACATTACTGAGGTTTAATAGAGTGTTATATATCCTCTGGCAACAGGTAGAATAGAATAGAACAGAATATTTCAGTTGGAAGGGACCTACAATGATCACCTAGTCCAACTGCCTGACCACTTCAGGGTTGACCAAAAGTTAAAGCATGTTATTAAGGGCATTGTCCAAATGCCTCTTAAACACTGACAGGCTTGAGGCATTGACCACCTCTCTAGGAAGCCTGTTCCAGTGTTTGACAGCCCTCTCAGTAAAGAAATGCTTCCTAATGTCCCGTTTAAACCCCCCCTGGTGCAGCTTTGAACCATTAACCAAATAAATAATAATAAATACCTTTTTTTCTTTATTGGAGAAGTTGCAGCAGAGTTTGTGGATGATGCGTTAGGAGTCAAAGATTGTCTGTTAAGGAAATATACTTAATTAGTTCCTTAATTTCAATAAGTGTATCATTTTAAATGAAAAAAACAATGATAAGAAGTCATATTTCTACTATCAGAATGATACAACTGTGTGTGGTATGACTATGTTTATATATGCCACTTGAAATTTTGGAAGTACCTCAAAGGATACAAGATTTGGGACACTGTAAGGGATTCTGATGCTTAGGGAACAGATGTGTCTTTACTTGATATCCAGATTTCTGACTTCTTAAAGTCTTGACTTCTGTACCGACACTTGAGTCTCCAACCACTGAAATATTAACATCTTTGTTTTTCATACTTTAAATTTTATGTTTCTTATACAGTTATGTCAATGCTGCTCTATTTTGTGATATGCCTGTAAAAGGAGTCGGTATTCCTCATACTTCTAACTATATAAGTTCCAAGCTAGTGATTTTTCTGATAAAGTTTATCAAAAAGTTATTGTCTTGCCCTCTGCATTTCTTAATGTAATGCAAATAACTGAGGAACAAAGCTTTACAAATCATTTTATTGCTCTCTGGCAGGAAAAAGTATATATCATTTAAGTCTCACTTCAGAATGCATGGTAGGTCTATTAAAAAGTCATCTCTGGACAAAATAACATAAAATCCAATTTATGTGATGTTTCATGTGTCATCATCACCATGATTTACAACATAGTGGTGCAAAATCATAATTTAAAAGAATGACCTCACTTGAACTTTAGATGCCAGAGATACTAATTTGCTCTTCAGAGTAATATCTCAACACTTTGCAAGATGATATTTAATTGCTGTGCTCAGTCTTCACTAGCAACTATATTCAGTGTAATTTATTGCTGATAGAACACTACTGACACTGATGAAGGCAGACAGCAATATATTTGTCCCTTTACATTTATAAGTATAGTGGTTGAGCTCTTCTGACTTTCATTTTTTAAATAAAAATCTCAATTAGGTAAGAGCTGTAAATTCTTTAGAAAATAATTTTTCAGTGTTGTGTAGTCATATTACATATATAAACTGGCCATCTCTGAATCATAACAACTTTTTTAATAACATGTCAAAGATTTTGTAGTAACTTATTTTAAATTAAAAATTGGTTTCAACCTGTTTTAGACAAGACTGACTTTCTGACAAAAGAAAAGCTTTCCACTGGAAAAATCAGTAAGCCTGTCCATCAAAAAAGTACTTTTATGTTTTGGAACTCATGTTTTCCATTGGCAATATTCAATGGCATTTTCCACTGAAAAGCTTAATTAGAATTTTTTCATGTAGTCTTTCCTCAGAAATACGTATTATATTTGGTAGAAATCATGCAGAGAAATGTAGAGGTCTAGAACATACCCACACTGAACTGTTTTCAAAACACTCTTATTCTTTATTTTTTATATTTAAAATATTGTCTTTCTTAAATAATTGCTAGGCTGAGTAAATGTGTAATCTGAGCTGGTGTCTCTTTTAATCTATGTGGAGAAATAGGCATTTTTAAAGGAAAATTGCTCTTATTCTAAAGAAAATATCTGAGACACATTAGATGAATTGTCCTCCAAAACACCCTTTTTCTCCTATATATATAAAAAGACTCTATGATAATCTAGATATAGATGTCAGCATTCCAGATGTCAGGTGGTAAAATGAAGCACACTATTAGGCAATATGCCATAAAAATTATTTTTCTATATATTCTTGGTATGTACATGTAATCAAAATTATGATAATACAGAATACTTAGATGATAATGTATGACAAATGATACATGATACATGTTAAATTATAATACATAATACTTAGATGATAAAGTTTCCAAAACTCATACCTGTTGCTTTGCTTATTATTCAGAGTTGGAGACTTATTTATTTTATCAGTATCATTTCTGTCTGGAATTCTGTCAAAAACAGAAATCATTTTTAATACACACTCTAGATCTTTCTTTTATTTATAAAAAAAACCTTTCAATAAAATTAAAAGATGGAGCATCACTTCGCCCTGTGTATAGATTGAAAATTCCCCAGTATCAAAACAGGTATAGAACAGAAGCTGAATTAATACAAATTCAGTACATAAATATCTGAAGAGTCTAAGTAGTTCACTGAAAAAAACTATTTTAAAAGGTTATGTTCAAACACTAATTGATATACTGTATCAAGTGTCATTGTTGTTAACAGTTAATTTATTCAACTCCTCTGAATTAGATCAGAATACTAGAAAGAAAGCAGTGTTTTTCAGTCAAGCAGTACATAAGCCATTCCCTTTCCCTCTCCCTCACCATCCCTTGAGAGATGCAACAGTCTTGTTTTCTTTACAGCTTTTAGAGATCAATGTGGTTTGAAAATACTCTGGTATAAAATCCCTGATAAAGCATAGTAGTGACCTACAGGAATAACATCTATCAAAGAAGTTAGATTATTTGTGCTTGAATTGATTTTATTAAGCCATGAAATTTACACTAAGAAACAACCACGTGATTTTTCAAGCCCTTTATGGATTCCGCAGCTATTGCCTAAAACCTTTCTGAATTTTCACAGAAAACACCATGTAGGTATTGTAGCTGAAACAGTGTAAGTACTTATTTTTTTTCAACTTTCTTCCCACATATGGAATATCCTTTAATAAGAACAGGGGAGGTCCAAAAAGCTCAAATATATAGTTATGTACATTGAAATAGATTACAAATACTAAGTTGAGAGGGTTAACTTAAATATTTGGCTAAAACAGCTGAAACATATTTTGACCTACAACTTATTTGCATATGGAAATTACTGAATTTTAGTTCTCTATTCCCATCTATAAACTGAAGCTATAGATACAAAATAATTAATCCTAGAACTATAATCTAATATTATGTACAAAACATTTTGTATCCCGCCTTCAGCCAAGTATCACAGAATACTGTTGCATTTAATGAAAAGTCTTCAAGGGAGCTCTGGGATAGAATCCGCACCAGCATGTGCTCTGTGGCTTTTTCAAAACTTAAATTTAATTGTGCAAATAACTAGCTCATACGGGCAGCTTGTCTGTGACCGGCAGTTACAGTTACTCAAAAGATCACTAGAGGTCTCACTAAACTTGCTAGCATTACTACAGATGCAAACATGAGCGTTTCTTCTAATTCACAACAATCCAATGAATCAGCATTTCTTTCACGTTTCATTTCATATTTTCAAAATTTCAGCACAATATTTTAAGTAGTTCTGTATTTTCTTATTTTAAAGACTTAAAGGGTCCATCTGGCATCCTACTCCACTGCTGCCCAGTGTAGCAGAAGCTTTGAAAAAATGAAAGAAGAAAGGTAAGTATAATGTTAACTTCTCCTTGTACAACTTTTCAGCTTCTGATAAGCAGTGGTCGAAGAATATCCTCTGTTTGCACCCAGAATGCTGTCTCCAACAGACACCTTTGGATCAATGATCCATTTACCCATCTAATGTTTTCCTGAACCAATTTAAATTTCTGGCCTCCACAATATCCTGTGGTGGTGACTCCTACAATTAATATATGTGTTAAGGGAAAAACAAGTGTTCTTTTTTATTTCATTATTTTTTTCTTTTTTTTTTCTCTTTTTCCCCTTTAAATTATTACCTAAACATTTCATACAGTATCTCCTCAATCTTACAGGGCAACAAACAGAAAATATTCCTTCCTTACTCACTTTCCTTATATCATTCCTTTCCAAGCTGAGGAAACTTTGTCTCTTCAGACATTCCACATATGAAAGCTATTCCATGCCTGTGATCATCCTTTCTCACCTTCCTCTTTATTTTTTTTCTGGTTCTATTGTAGTTTCTTCACATAAGTGAAATACTGCATGCAGTGTTCAAGATGTGCAAAACAGGTTCATAACACGACTGAACAGTGGTTTCTGGTTTGCTCTCAGTTCATTTTCTAATAATTTCTACCATTTCAAAGGATTATATTATTAACAAAGCAGACAACGGAAGTGTCTCATTAACTTCAGTCCCATCTCTTCAGATCTGATTGCTATAAATGCAGTTAGGATTTATTCTTCCTGGAAGCTATTCTGGACTTCTTAGTAGCATTTAGTACTTGGAAAAATAGCACTGTAATTTTCATTGTCACTATTTGATTTTTAAGGCCTCTCCCATCTTTTGTCAAATATTTAGTTCGTTGCTAATAATAAGAGAGAAACAAATAGATAAATGGATTTTTTTCATCCCATCCAGAAAGGCTGTCTGTGATCATCTGCACAATGCAATTGTCATCTGAGTTATGACATGTAGATCTACATGCTAGTACAAGTATATGTGCACCTCCATCAAGGTATGGATTTCTGTTAACAACTTAACTGTGTTTGGTATTTTCTTGTGCTTGCAGCCAATGGTGCAATTGCATCTAGCCATCTGCAACATCTCTCTCCCAGGTCCTTAATACTGAAACTGATGTTCAAATTCTGTAGATATCAAGTTAGGCAAAATTCATATCAAACAGTGCCTTCTTTGAACATGGATATGACAGTATCCAGGTAGCAAAAAGCTGTACCTAAAATGGCTTTTAGATATGTTTTCACTGTCACATTTACACATGCAAAGAAGAACTCAAAATTACTCCTATACTCCTCAAACAGTTTATTTTGGATTTTTTTTTTAATTAGAATTTCAATTACTATTTTGCCATTTTGAAAACTAGCTATCAAAGAGACATTCATCCAGATAGATCCAGATTCTTTACATCCTTGTCTTTTGGAATATTACAGTCATGGCCACAAGAGATACAAAGCAGAACTGTGGAAAGATGTTCCAATCTCTGTCTTGAAAACAGGTGACTTCTAAAGACCTTTTGCAGGATAGAAGACTACTATTTTACAGCATCTTAGCTAGACAAAAATTATTTTCCATATAGACAACATGACTTACTATAATTCTGTAAACAGCTCTGAGCGATCTCCAATACCAAGGTAATTCTTCTGAAGAACTGTCTACTAGGAGCAGCCCTTTAGACTTTATTCTATATTCCAGGAACGTGCTCCATATTCAACTCTGCCTTTTAGTTTTGAACAGGAAAAAAAAACGAATGCTGCTTTTTCACACAGGCAACTAAACAATATAGCTGTTCTGCAAACAGGTCTATTCTAAGCCTGGAGACTTCTGTACTATGGTTATGCTTGCCAGAAATAATTTATAAGAAAATAAGGGAATTGTACCTGGTGGAGAACATCCTTCACAGATGAAGCGGAAGTACCAAATTTGACTGCAGGCTACAAAAAGGTGCTAATAGAAAATAAATCACCACACCCTTTTATGCCTTAGGTTGCAAGTTTGAGGAGATGCAGAACACGTGGTCATCCCTTACAGAAGTGCCTGCTGGCAACGGGTGTGCACAAATTAATCCTGGAATGGCTATATTCCACAGTTTTGAGAAGACCAGTGATGAGTGAGGAAGAATAAACAACTTGACCACAGCTTCCTCATTGCGATCATTTCAAGATAGAACCATCATTATTCACTCCATTTATGGACATACTCCGCATTAGTTATCAGAAGTGTATATTCACACCTGTAATCCTTTCTTCGTATTCTCTGTCATCTGTTGCATATGAAGAACCCTTTATGTTAGATATTTGTGTACATGAAAACACAAAGACAGTCAACTTACAACTAAAATAATTCAGACATCTTACTATCTCAGCATAAAGCAAAAAGACCTAGATAGAGTACACAAGGACAACACTGTTCAGCAGCACCGTAGAAACTGGAATTGTCCTATAACTTCTAAATTAGTATTCAGGGCTTCTATGCATGAAAATCAAGCCTTAAAAATTGTTTTGAAGTCAATGAACATGTGGATAAGAGTGACATAGCTGATGTATTCTACTTGAATTTCCAAAGAGCTTCACAGAAATCTACTTTAAGGACTCTTAAGTAACCTGATCTCCTATGTAGTAATAGAGAAGGTCCTTTCATGTATAAGTAACTGGTTAAAAAGTAGGAAACTAAGGTTTGGAATAAATGACAATTTTTCAGAGTGGAAGGAGGGATCTGTACAAGACCTGTGTTTTTCCATATGTTCACAAATTATCTGGAAAAGAAGGAAAGTGAAATGATGTTGCTTGCCAGTGACACTAACTCATGGTAGTCAAAACAAACGCCGACTGGCAAGGCTTTCAGAAGTCATCTGCTAACATGTCAGATCTCTAAAATGGCAGATGACATTCACTTTTCTTAGATACAAAGTACTGCCTGCCAAGAAAAACAATTGATCTCTGAACCAGCTATTATCACGCAGGAAAGAGGTCTTGGAGTTAAATAGATAATGTTATGAAAATGAAAGCTCAATTCTCAGCAGCACTCAAAAGAGCAAATTCAATATTGTGAAGTATGAGGGAAAGAATAGCAAATGAACTACGTTGTTATACGCCTCTGTATATAGAAGGTGTGCTCCCATCTTAAATACCTGCATGGAGATTGGGACCCCCAGATCAAAAAGACTAATGTGGAAATAGAAAAGCTACAAAGAAGAGCAACAGGTAAATTGAAGTTACATAATGCCTTCCTCGTGATGAGTGAACAAATACAGCAGGATTCACCAGCCTGTAGAAGAACTGATGCAGGGATGACATCACACAGCTCTGTAGCCTATTCTGTTCCAGACTTCTATGGAGAAAGTAAATTTTACGTAACAATTTTTTGTTGTTTCTTACAGCAGACATAAGGATCATCAAACAAAATTACACAGTGCTAAGATCCAACCAAACAAGTGCACTTTTTCCACAGTGTGTATTTAAGTGCTGGTACTCATAGCCTCAGCATGTTGTGGATCTTCTACTTAGATGCTTAATAAATAAAAAAAAAAATTAAAAAACCACTGGTTCATTCATGCTTTTATTTTTAAGACCTCTCACAGGTATGAGAATCACAAAATACAATACATACGGGAAAAAGCCCTACCTGTCCAAGGTAGTATCAGATCTGTATCGTCCAAGTACAGCTTTCTGATCTTCCTTTTCATTTGTGCTACTGCTATAAAAAAGGTTAGAAATGCCACTTTGGTCACTGTTTTTATTAAACAACTCATCACCAATAAAACAATATATAATTCTTGAATTAAGGTATCATACAGGATCTCAGACAATCCAGGTGTCAACAGATCCAACCCCGCATCCATTGCAATCATCAACTTAACAATTATTGGCATCAAAGTCAGATTTACACTGGAAACATCTATAGACTAAAACCGAACAAAGAAAGCTCTTGCTATAAACAGGATATAGTAAAAGGATACTCAGTTTTCTTTGGCAATATCATTAGAAAGGTGTTCAGATACTCTACTGTACCTGTGTAGGCCATCTTGGGATTTGTATTGATTAAGCACAGCTCTTCCATAGTTTTCATCAGCACTTCAAGCAAAAGAAAGACAGTGGTTAGTTAAAATTTGAATATTAAAAATAGAAAATTGTTTCTTGGCAAAAGATTTCTGTCCTCGATCAGATTTCACAGCTGTCCACTACCATCATAACCACATCAGCTACATATCTCTGCATTAGATGACTCCAGACATTTTGGAGTAGGAATTATCTCTTCCTACGTGCTATTCATGGACCAAATAATGAGGGCCTGGTCTAAAAGTGGAGTTTCTACTGTAATACAAGTCCTAGTTTGCATTACAGTACATTTCAACTGATTCTGACTTAAGTTCCTTAAAAGAACTTGTCCAGATTTATAATATTCATGCTTGCAAAAAGAAAGAGTCAGATCACATTCTTGCAACATAAATATATGAAATGTGGGATTTTTCTTGTAGAACAGAAGCCTGACATCTCATTAAATGCTCAGCGCTCAAAAGTCCCAGTGATAAACATAGTCAGTGGAAGTTCAGCAGTCTAATACTTCCAAAAGGCAATCAATATCTCATCAAGATAAGCAAATAATAGTTATTTGATGAAATTTATGTAATTCTGGTTGATACCATTCATGAAAAAGTAGACACTCCACAATGTACATAGCATACTGAACTAAATACAGAAGAAATGTATTTCATAACTTTCTTACCTTTCCTCTTCAGGCCGCTTCTTTATCCAGCTGTTGTCTTGCAAAAGGGTCCGTCGTTTATTAATATCATGAGTAGCCTGTTGTCTGCTTTTAATTGCAACAGAGGGGCTCTTATCTGCAAATGCAGAGAAATGTGTCTTGAAAATGAATGTATGGGATAATTTTTGAAACTTAAAGCGCTATTAGAAAGGCTGAAATATGTAAAAGTTTAGCACAGACTGAATCTTTAGCTATCACTTCTATTCAGTGCAGACCATTCCCTTGAAAAGTTCGTGGCTTAATCCCTTCAACCTTGAAGGGACTGCAGAAGCCCAGTATACCAAACTTAATTCAGTTTCATCCTTAATATGAAACAGCTTGGTATATTTTTACTGTAAACAAATATCACAGATCTGATAAAGGAATTATAATATATACATACAACAGTAATTCCAGGAAAGTCAGACTAATGAATCCTATTTCCTGGGGTGTTGTCTGTGGTTTTTGTATTTTTAGATGTGTGACAGGATGCAAATTTTGAACGAAAGCTAATCTTGAGATGATCACATCGTCCTCCACCTACATCCAGACCAACATATGTGGATTTTCATGTTTCTCAAAAGGGTCAGACTCTGTCTGCAGCTTTTTCCTCAGTGGCTGAATGAACAGGGTCTCTCTTCTAACAAGCTACCTAGTTTTACTGAACTTCTAATAAAAGCAATACCTTTAAGGTCTGCATCTTTGCATCAGATTTAACTAAAATTGGTGTATAGTTTCAAAGATTATTGGGAGGGACAGACAGACATGCACACTCACACACTGTATGTACATGGAAACCTTATTTACTTATGAAAACAACCTAAAATACCTTTGCCCAACAACGTTGATATTTAGTATATTGAGGAACTAACAATACGATGTTCACTTGATTTGTGACAATATATATTCCTCACCATATTAGAAAGTTGATGTTTATCTCCTTTGGCTTCCCTTTATGAGGGGTTTGACCCAGAAGCAAGCAAAAATATTGAATGACTGTTGTCCTGTATTCTCAGTTCTTTTTCTTCCCACCTAAGTTTCATATCATCAGCCTGTTTGAGATGAAGGGGAATATTTTTGTGCCATTTTAACATTCCCCTTTAAAATGGAAGACTAGAAGTTGAGCCCAAATAGAAACTCCATTTTTTAATTGTGATACTTGCCCCAAACTTTCCCAGACAAGAGAAGGTGAAAACTTAAATATGCAAAACCTTTGTCAATAGCACCCAATTAATCAACAAACTGACTGATGAAGAATACTGAGTTTCTCAGGTTTTCCTTTAGAGACCTTCGTGGTGTTCTCCATGAATTCCTCACTCTCTGAGCATCCACACAAAAGGAGTTTGACACCAACAGATTTCAGGAGGCATCATCATCTGGTGTTCAGTAAGGACATTTGACCTTAAAGATTGTGTATAGAAAGACCACACTTCACAGAAAACACATGCTGTTGGTATTATGTCATTTGTCAGAGCTGTGTTTTGGCATTCTGTTGTGATTTATAAGAAAATGTAGCTCTTGCTTTTAATCCAAGAACTTCAACAGTAGTGATAACATGAAAAATGACAAATAGCTACAGTGGATGGAAGACCAAATCATAATAAAGCACCAAAACATTTATTTTAAGTGACAATGGCCAAGACTGACATTTTAAATACATTTTTCTCATGAAAGAAAATACTGCAGTACAAAGATAAAATTCAGTCTAAAAATGTATATCTGACTGTAACCCAAACTGTGTCTGCTCTTATCTGTTGCAATTCACTGTAGATATGTCCATACCACCAAATAAAAGAAGGCCAGTGAAGGAATTAAAGGATTGGACTCATCATTCATGTTTGCCTAGCTGCAAATGCTCTCTGGCTCTGTATTGGACTTGCTCTCTCCAAGACTGAGCTGCTAGAGAAGTGACAAACATTTAAGAAACATGACTATGATAGCATGGATGGCTGTTGCTGTCTCTTGGCCCTGATGCCAAAGTTTGGCTTTCATTTTTTGAGCAGCCCTTTGTGACCATTAAGAAATGAACAAGCACATCAAAGATGAGATTTGTAAGAATGTGCTGACAATCACGGTGCATTAAGAACAAAAAGTCATCTGTCCTCACTGTATGATTTCTGCATCAGCCTGTTCACTGCCAATTGAGCTAGTTTTTCTCTTAAAAATATTTATTTAAGTCTGACTTTAAAGGCTTCAAAAAATGAAGACATCCCAGCGTTGCCTGCATAGCTCCAGTGGTTCATTAAAGTATCTGTTAAAATAAACACTTCTTGCAATCCGAAAAGAGGAAGGAACTCCATCGGTTTGAACAACAGCATTGTCTCATAGTCACTGTCAAGAATGGAGACAGTTGTAATTAGCAAACAAGACTATATTAAGTGCATTTGCTGTAAATATTTACTGTTTTGAATATACTCATAATACTAGCAATGGCTGGGATGTAATAGGGATTTGGATGAATATATCTAATAGAAAAAAAACTTTGCAACATTCAACAGTCAAGGATTTGAATGAAGATCCAATAGCAAAACCTGTACCTTCCCATTCTCATAAATATTTAGATATTTTTAATTTGGTACAATTGTTTGCATTGACAAAAGAAAAAAAAAAAGTTAATTTTCGAAAGTAGGAAAAGTGTGAGTTCAAGTATATGCATTCCAGAGATAAAACTTTTCTACAGCAAGGATAGCTGATGGCAACTAAGGGGGTGGAAATGATTCCAGCATTCCTTTCATACTAATAGTTTTAGCCAAAGATGCTTTCAACTGTCTGCAATGCATTTCAATCTGTGTTCTACTGTCAGCCATAACCTCCTCTGAATCTTGAAGAAAAACTCTTCAATTAACATAAGCATTTCTATATATTCAAGAAGTACTCAGTATATATCCAACTATTAAAATTAACCTTGCATATGCAATATCGGCTTCTTTCCAATAACATTTTAGGAAAGCTGTTATCACCTACCTGAAAATGACTTGGATTTCACAGAAATCATGGCTTTCTTAATTGCTTAGTGCAAAAAAGGGGTTTGGGAAATCTCCTATAAAGGCAGTAGCCAAGCAATATATATTGTGTTTTCTTTTCAAGAAACATCACAAGCAATTCACTAATGCATGAGGCCTTGTGTTTGCTGAAGAGTACTCATTTCTGGTCTAATGAATTGTCTCCCGAGTTTCAATTAAAAAATTAAATATAGATCTGATACAACCGTTCAGGTCACATGATCACAGGCAGATGGAGCTTATGCCCTTCTTATTTTGGCAATAAAAAGTTTATGTCCTTAACATGGTAGAGCCAAGCTGCTCCCCACCATGGCTGCACCAATTTTAGTGTACTTAGGCCTGGCACATCCCACCCAAACCAGGTCCTTATGCACCTCGAAACCTTTCAGCCTTTAGAAGTATTTTGCAGGTTCGAGGGAAATGGAAAATTTCATCCTGTTTCCAATTTGCCTCTGGTCATTTCTCTGCATAGAAAGCAAACTCCAGCCCTCCTCAAGTTTTTTCCCTCCAAAGGAACAAACAATCCCACCTGACAATGATTAAATAGCTTTTCTCTCCCCTCCCCGCATTCTAATTTTCCTCAATTTCTCCTCATTTCCCCTGAGCAAGTCAAAGAGACAGCGATGGATGCCCTGTCTGCCCGCTGCCCTCCCAGCCGCCATGCTCCTGAGGGCTTTCACCAGCAACCACAGGCCTCAGTGGAGGGAAGCGCCATCTTGCACCTCGCTGCCTGGTTCCACTGCTCCACCACACTGCACTGCCCGGCTCTGAATCTCTGCCGGCGAAAGCTTAGGCACAAAACCGCTAGCTTTGTGGTTGAAGAGAGTCCTACTGTGAATCTAATAACCAGCCCATCACAGCCGAAAAGTGGCGGCGTGCCCTGTGAGGGAGCTGTGCGACAGGCACGGCAATGCTTGGCAAGGAGGGAGGCCGTGCCTCAACCTCTAAGTGCCCTGAGAGCAGAAAATGAAGGAGACTCAGTATTACCGCTTTGATTAGGAGACTGTTTTCGTATGCTGAAAGCTGACATTTTGTTCAGTGGGATGTCCTTCGGTGGGAATCTAAAAGAAAATATGAAAAAAAGAAAGAAGAGAGAGTTGTCGGTGAGATTAGGAATCAGCCCCAAAGACAGTTTTAGCTCGTTTGCCACTTTGATCACCTCCTCGCGCAAGTTTAGTCTGACAGGGAGGGTTGACTTAGCCCTAGCTGCAGCCCTCTTTGAACTGAAGCTCAGGCAAGGTGGTGGCTTTTCCCTCCCTAGTGATGACTATGTGCATT